TTTATAGCTAAGTGGATGCACATTGAGGCCATACTCTTAAGTGAAATAAACAGGACACACATGTGTAAATACCGAATAGTTTCTCTAGTGTGAGAAACTGAAAGTGTAAATAAGAACTAAAAGGTATAACAGATAGTGTGAAATGGGAAGAAAAGGGTCAAAGGGGAAGGGGAAGTGGAAGGGGTAGGGGAAAGGAAAGAAGGAATGGAATTAATATGAGAAAATGGAAACAAACTCTTTGTAAATAGGGAGGGATGGAGGGGTTGAAGGGAGGGCAGGGGACGGGGAAAAATAAGAACCAAGAGAGATTATGTAAAGGTGCACATTTCCAATGATGAATGTCATTGTATTTTATACCTAAAATGTACCAATGAAAGGATATACAAAAAAAAAGAAAAAGACAGGGCTTCACCATGTAGCCCAGGTTGGCTATGAACTTTCAATCCTCCTGCCTCAGCCTCCTGGGTATCTCGGATTTATAGGCGTGCACTACTGTACCTGGTTTTAGATTTCGTTTTTACTCCTTCTTGCACGCACTGGCTTGTTGAGTTCCTACTGTGTTGCAGACACTTTGCTAGGTGCTGGCAATTTATCTAGTGCAAGCTGCAGAATTCCTTCAAGGGGTACATATCTAAAGTCAATACTTTTTCAAATGGCTTCAAGAACCACTAAAGCAATTTACCTACTACTGGGGTCCGACATGCACCTGGAGTTGATGTGTCTGTGTAGAAGGAGCCAGTCTGCTTCCTGCTGCCATCATCCAAGATGTTAAGTGGGTCATGGATGTCGCTGTAGGCAGGCAAGGAGCGCACACTGCTGATGACAGAGACGTGCTGGTTCACCATGGGTCCCAGCCTGTGAGGCTCTGGGTAGCTGATGTTGCTTCCATAGTACCCTAGGACAACAAGGGTTGAGAATGATATACTGTCAGAGCTAAAAAGAAAGAGCATTCCAGAGAGAAGAAAGCTGCAAGGTGATCACAAAGAGCCTGCAGACATCAGACTGTAAACATTACATCTGTGGTTACGATTGATAGTGAATTTATGCTTGCATAGTTTACTATGCTTTTTGTGCTTTTTAAAAGGGGGTTGTCATAGTAATTTTGAGATGCAGACTACCTACACAGCTGTCATATTTTCCTTATCTGAGTTAATAAAGTCTGCCCAGGCAGAAAGAAAAAAATCCCCGCTAGCCTCCTGGGTTACATTACCTTTCAAGTCCCACCAGCTCTGCAGATTCCTGTTTTGTGGGAAAGGGTTGGGCCACAGAACACAGAGGCTGAGGCATCTGGGGAGCAGCCTGGAGCCTGGTGGTGCTAACAGGGCCCAGGCCTCTCCAGCTCCCATGGCATGAGCTTCTCTTGGCCGAACAAGAGGCATTGCTTTTATCCTGCCCTTTAAAACCTGCCTGTGGGTCTCTGGAAGGGACATTCTCCACTAAAAATGTTTCTGAAGGAAAGAACAGTGCTGGACCTATTGAGGTTGGTCTCAAGTGTATGACTTTATATGGCTCTTTGATTTTTTCATGTTCAGTGCTTTTAAGGGAAACTTTGTCAGAAGAATTAGGAAATCTGTATGTGGGAGAAATCAGCCCGAATGTCTGAGATTCCAAGACCTTTAGGAGTCTCACATGGATGATACCCTACTGGGCAGAGGTATAGCTCAGGGTCTGAGTTTGCCCATTTGCCTTGTCAAAAGCCAGGAGAATTCTTTAAATTTTTGTACCGTTGGGTGAATTAGAAGGCAGTGTCGCGCCTTGGCAACTGGCAGTCCCAGCGTTGCTCAGGAAGTTGAAGCTTCCTGTGTTGACGAACTGCATGCTGTGTGACTCCTGGGCATGCGGAGATGGCCCGTAGCTGGAGGGTGGCCGGGAATTGTACGGAGACCCAGCACAGCTGCCACCAAAGAAGTCTCGGGAGAGCTGCTGTTCTGTCCACGCCATGTAGCGGCCATGCTCTGCACGAGGGCAGAGTCCTGGGGGGGTATGGGGCTGGGCCCTGAACATAGTCTGGTAGCTGGAGCTGGGCCCGTAGAAGTCATGGGAGGCCTGGGGGAGGGCAGGGTAAATGGCCTCGGGGTACGAGGAGCAGTGAGAGGGCACCGGGAGCCCAGCACCCACACTCGGGGGCCCCTCTGCCATCGGGCCCTGGTTAATTACACTTCCTCGGCTGGCCAGGGCTGGGGAAATGGGCGGTGTCATCAGGGGACCACTGCTCTGTGGAAGCTCCATTGGACCTGAAAAAAATGACCAACACATTCACTCACTGGAGTATTAAAATGGATGGACTCAGATCTTTTAAAAGTCTTTAAAAATGTACTTACTGACAAACCGTTTTTTAAATTTAGCTCATTTCTACCCTTCAGAAGTAACTGGGGAACACTGAAAATACAGATTTGAAAACTCCTACAGCACAGGTTTAGATCCCAGCAGTGGCGTCATGGATTAGGGACACGGAGGAGGCGGGACAGCTCCATGCTCCTTGGTGTGAAGATGATCAGAGTCACACCTGGGAAAGCCAGGCTCTGGTGCAAACCCTGCTCCTTGGCCAAGAAATAAGCTGAGTGTAAGATGACTTGGTCTTTAGGATGAAAGAAATGCCCTGAGGGGCTGTGGCCAAAACACGTCAACTCAAATGTGACAACTCTACTGATGAGCTGTGGAACTTGTCAATGCTGCCACTGCCTTAAACCTCCCTCTACCGTTGGTGCAGTTAGACCACTGACGATCGAGGCCCTTCCAGGCTTAGAATTCTATGTGCCCAGTGAGTTAATGTGCGTAAGAGGACTTCAAAAGACACAAGGCAGTGAACAGATTAGAAATGTTCCCTAGAAGCTTGTCCACACCACTAAACTTCATTTGGACACAAAGAGGACACTAGAGGGCTGGGGATATAGCTCAGTGGTTCTGCCACCTGCCTCGCAAGTCCAAGGACCTGAGTTGGATCCCTGGTACCAAAAAAAAAGAGAGGACACTAGACCACAGGGTAAAATTATTGTAAGGGTTAATCCTAGAATGGCTGAATCCACTTTGTAGTAGGAAAAATCTCATCAAAATCAATAAGCTGCCCTTTTTCATCTTCAAAACATAGTAAAGACTTATATGCACCAAAAATCTAGGTGTGGTGGTGCATGCTCGTGATTCCAGCTCTCAGGAGGCTGAGGCAGGAGGACCATGAGGTGGAAAGCAGCTTGAGTAACACAGCAAGCCCGTCTCAAAAAAACAAACAATAACAATAACAAAAAAGATCTTATGTACACCTAAGATAGTTTTTTCTTCCATTAGATGAAGAGAACTATTCATTCATCTGTTGTAAATTATACAGCATGAAATTGTGATATTCATGTGAGTAATGATATCAATAAAAATGAATGGTAATAGTTAAAAAAAATCACAAAAATATTCTAAGTTTTATAATATTTAAATCTTACACAATTTTAACTGAAACATTATAAATCTTATAAAACTGTTAACTCTCCTTTTTTTTGAATCCCTGAGGCTAGGCGTTTTTAGAGAAACAAATGCACAGACTGGCATGTGCTGAAATCTACCAGCGACTGTTCACCATCCTGCGGGTGGGTACCTGAGAGCTGCATGCTGTCCGGGGCCCCAGCAGGGAAGGGCTGCAGAGCAGGGGGCAGGCCTCCAGCCTGGCCAGAAGGCAGGGGAAGGCAGGCTGTCTCCACGTGGCTTTCGTTCTTCACTGCCTCACTAGAAACTGAGCTTCCCCTACTGCGGCTGGCCAAGAAGCAGGAACTTGGGGAGGCAGTGAAGGCAGCTTTACTTGCATCTGAAAGAGTTTCTGAGGTAAGGAATCTGGGACTGCTCCCGTATTTCAGGTTGACTGGTTGAGTAACTGATCTGGACACTCCTAAGTAGTGCTTCCCATGGTAGAGGAGGCTGGCAGAGCCGTGCTCCTGGCCATGGTGCTGGGTTTACAGGTCAGTGCCCATCCTGAGGGTGCTGCACAACCCTCTGCAGCAGTCTTCAGAGTATGCGTTTCCCATTCCAAACAGACAGGCCTCCTTCTGTCTCTAAATGACTATGAAGCTTGTTTCTAACACACACACACACACACACGCGCGCGCGCACGCACACACACTCACGCTGGATGTATTATCTTGAACTATATTACAGACTGTATTATAGTCATTTTACTCATTTCTCCAACTGCAGCTAAATTCTCAGAAATTAAGAAAATCAATTTTGTAAACCACAAAATTTCCAATAAAGAACTTTGACTACTCCATGTATAAATGGAGGGAAAAAATACTACTCTGTTAGTGTTAGTTACGATGTCAGTGGCCATATATTTGGAGGTCAAGTCTCATATTATTATAAACCCACTTATGCTCTTGCAAATTCTTGAACTTAAGCTTCAACAAAAAATACCAAAAACATAATGCTTATTTCAGGTTACCTGCATTCTTCATATACTTGTCCAATAAATTCTGTAACTCTTGCTCTTTGTCATTATTAAACTGAGTCTCCATGGCCAGGAGAATGTATTCATCCAGAAGCATTCGGATCAGATGAAAAGAGCCTTGTTCATGGACAGGGAGAAGGAGAGGGCGCGGTGAAGCGGAGTAGCGTGTGGGGGAGAGGGGAGAAGAGCCCGATTATCTTCGTGACCATCTCACCACGGTTTACAAGGAGCAACCAAAATAAACAAGTACTCGTTGGACTTTAAGTGACCCGCTAAGACAACATGCTTGACGTGGGGTCTAATCTCTCCATGTGCCGCCTGCCCAGCCCCTCTGGGTCCTCCCCACCAGCTCTCTGGCCACTGATTACCTAAAGGGAAACCACGGATGAAAGCCGAGACGCTCTTTGTGCTCTACGAGAGTGAACACTGGAGTGTGATAAGCTCTGACCCGGGGAGAACGAGCTCTACTCTGCTCTGTTTCTGTTTGCTTTGTGCTGAAGAATTGGACAATGGGCAAATGGTCTGAAAAGTACCCAGTCAGATGTCTTGCTAGGTCAAAACAAATATTCTTTGAGTTCAAAATCAAAAAGCGAAGAGTAATTTTCATGTGAAAGATGTGGCAAAATATATAAACTTCTTTCAACTATCCCACAAATTTCCCAACATAATAAAGTCAAGTTTCGGTGCTGCATATTTTTAAAAATTTAAAATATGAGCAAGTCTATCTCAAAAGATACACTCAATATATTTTGTTCAACCCTCAGTACAAGTCCATTGATTTTATTCAATTCCATTGAACATTAAATAAAGACAACTTAATTCATTGTAACCTATTTTATAACATGAAGATTTCTTGAAATGTAACTATTAAGTGCAGAATTACTGCCTAGAAGTTTAGCGTTACAACTACAAACTACAGAAATTTTAGAAAAAGAGGTATTTGATTTTTGAAAAACAAAGGAAACTTATCCAAGTATCAGTGGAATGGAATAATGGCTGCTATTCATTAAATATTTACTGAATGGTAGGCAACATGTTTTTATACCCTTCTCATTAAAGAACCTACCCAACCTTACGAAAAGAATATTCTTCCCACCAGACTGGCTTGGGTAAGGCCACAGACAAAAGGCAGTGTTAGGGTTTATCCTCACATGTGGTCTAATTCTAAACCCCAGGCTTGTAACTACTGCTCTCTGCCAGCTGAGCATTCAGGGAAGTTACAGAAGTGAGAATGTAATATGTTTTCAAAGGAATAGAAGATGTGCGTGGGGAGGAATGATAACATTCACGCAAGATTTTTATGAAGCAAGGAGGATACCAAAACTGGAAGCGTTGTTCAGGGTGAGATTATGCATTACTCGAGCCCCAAAAAAGCTCCACTTCAGCAGAAAATCTTGAGCTCTCTTTTTTAATGATCTTCCATTTTGTTTGCTGGTCTAAAAGTAAAGGAACAAAATGAAACTATAAAACCTGTCATTTCATTGCTTCCCGCATCCCATACTAGAGCACAGGGCAGATGAGCAACAGCAGATGGCACACCATTTATTGATAAAATAAAATGACCTCTCAAGGGATGTGAATCTTAGTTTCTCTTTGTTGTCACTTCAAGGGTAATAAGTCTTTATTCCATGTGGCTTTGTTTCTTAATAGAATTAAACAATAAAATGAAATAATTTACAAAATATTGTAATCTTTTAACCTTAGAACAGAAGGTCAAGTGTAAAGGAAGGGTTACATATTTCTGTGAATAATTAACAGACTTCTCAGGTCCTGAATGATGATCTGTTTTCCTTGCAGAAGAAAAACATCCCCAGATATAACTAGTTTCCTGATATAGAATGGCTCACACCAGCTCGCGAGGTATATATTTATTCTTATTGCCTTGTTTCATGATGGATGACAGCAACAGTTGAAGAAACCAAATTTAAAAAGCATAAAATGCTGAGCTTTTAGAATTCAGAATTGCACATAGGTAAAATTATATCTCTGTGAGCATTTACGAAATCTTGCTTTGCAAGAAAGGGGCAGGTCTTTCTAGTCTCTAAGCTCATCTTCTCCTGATGATGTTACTCAGGTGCAACTTTACTGACTGACCAGAAAGCAACAGCACCTTGTAGCTCTTTGTGCAGAATGAGAAGCCAAACAGAACCCATGCCCAGTGTGCGCACACTGTGCACATTCTGGCTGGTGATATTTGGGCTGTCTTCTTTGTAGGGCTACAAAGTCTTTGCAATGCATTTCTAAACAAAGCCTTGCACCTTTCCCCCAAAAGTCAAGAGATTATAGCCAATTTGGCATATACACTTAACAAAAAGTTTACTTTCTGAACTGTCATGAAAAGTACCTTAATAACTCTCTGTTCCACCACAGTATCCAGCCATTCGACGAAAGCCTCCACTGTGGCATTCTTCTTCAGCAGGTCCTTCAGTTCTTGGAACACAGTGATGGAATCGTCTGCCACATCCAAAAGGGAATGGAAGAAAGCAGAATATTGCATCTACTTTGAACCCAAGTGAGAACTATGAATTAACAACTTTAAACCATAAACTGAAGAGACAGGTGAGTAAGTTTAAAAGTGTGAAAGGCATTATGTCACATTTGGAAAACAGCAACAGAAAATGCTTAATATTCTACTCTTCAAAATGTAATCATAAGTGCATCTACCTTGGTGTATACTGAAATAGAGGTTACATCATATATATATTTAAATATTTTATATATATTTATACATATACTACACATCCAGTAGAGTAAATTAATACAATTTAATATTCATTTTAATCGGTTGAAAGCTAATGAGTGAAGCAGGCTAAGCATGTTCATTTCCTACTTTCTGAAAGATCCTTTATCGTTGGCAAATTAAATTCTGCATTGCAGGTTTGAGCCATTTACATGAATAACTCTGTACCGTAAAATTTAAAGGGGCAGTTTGACATTATCATTTTTTGAAGAGTTTGAGGTTTACTGAACCTTGAAAGGTAACGGCGTGCTATGGTAAGACACAAAGAGAGAGGTCGAGGGCAGCTGCAGAGAGCCAGCAGTCTGTGCACTTTCTGTTCAGGGAGGAGGGAGGAAGCCTGCGAGCCTTCTCCCTTGGGGGCCAAGCCGAGCTGCCCAGTCAGGGCCCGGCAGGCAGCGGTCAAACGGCCCACCCCAGGGCGGCCTCTGCTCCAGGGCGCTGGGCTGGGAGGTCGCTGCTACACGGCACGGCCAAGGCGAGCGAGACGCACATGCAAACGTGTGTGCACACGGTGCAGAACAGGAGGAAAACTCAAGAAACTCGGAACGATTTTGATTATTTGTAGGCTACTTATATTTAGTGATTTCCAGAAAATGAGATTATAGATTTTTTGTTTTCAATATTTTCTGTCTTTTCCAGGCTTTCTACAATAAGTACGAATGTTTTAAAATAGAGAACAATTTTTTCTTTTCTTTTTTCTTTTTGGTGCTGGGGATTGAACTCGGGACCTTGCGCTTGTGAGGCAGGCGGCAAAGCCACTGAGCTAAGTCCCAAGCCCTAGAGAACAATTTCTTAATTAAAAATGTTTCTATAAAGAGTTTCTTTTTTAAAATTTAATTTTATTGGTACATTTTAGGTATACAATATAATGACATTCATCATTGGGAATTTGCACCTTTACATAATCTCTCTTGGTTCTTATTTTTCCCCCTTCCCCTGCCCTCCCTTCAACCCCTCCACCCTCCCTATTTACAAAGACTTTGTTTTCATTTTTTCCTTTTCTCATATTTATTCTATTCCCTTCTTTCTTTTCCTTTACCACTTCCAGTTCCCCTTCCTCTTTGGACCTTTTCTTCCTATTTCACATTATCTATTATACCTTTTGATCCTTATTTACACTTTTAGTTTCTCACACCAGAGAAACTATTCAATATTTACACATGTGATTCCTATTTATTTCACTTAAGAGTATCGCCTCAATGTGCATCCATTTAGCTATAAATGTCTCTAGTTTCTCATTCTTTATAGCTGAGTAGTACTCCATTTTATAAAAAAAACTTTTTCTTTATCCAGTCTCCAGTTGATGGGCACTTGGGCTGTTTCCAAGCTTTAGCTATTACAAACTGTGCCTCTATAAACGTAGGTGAGCATACAACACTGTGGTATGTTATGATACTTTTAATTCTTTGGGGAAGATCCCCAGCAGTGGAATAGCAGGGTCAAATGGGACTTCCAGTCCTAGTTCTTTGAGGTATCACTATACTGATTTCCACAGTGGTTGCACCAGTCTGCACTCCCACCAACAATGGAGAAGGGCTCCTTTCTCTCCACACCCCCACCAGCATTTGTTATTGGCTGATTTCTTGAGAGCAACCATTCTTTCTGGGGTGAGGTGGAATCTCAGCATTGTTTTCATTTGCATCTCTGAATGACTGTGAACATTTTTTGAACATTTTTTCATATGCTTATTTGCTATTTCTACTTCTTTGTCTGAGAAATGTCTGTTCATTTCAGAGGGCTATTTTTAGATTGGATCTTTAAATTTGGGAGGTCTGATTTTTTTAAAGTTCTTTATATATTCTGGATAGTAGAACTTTGTCTGAGGAATAGCTGGTAAAAAATTTTTTCCCATATTGTGAGTTGTCTCTTCACGTTGTTGGTGGTTTCTCTTGCTGTACAGAAGGTATCTTTTTTCTTTTTTGGTACTGGGGATCAAACTTGGGACCTTGCACTTGCAAGGCATGCACCGGAACCACTGAGCTAAATCCCCAGCCCAATGTGCAGAAGCTTTTAATAAGAAAAGATCCTACTTGTTAATTCTTTGTGCTAGTTCATGTGCAGCTGAGGTTTTATTCATGAAATTTTTTCCTATGCCAGTGTCTTCAAGAGTTCTATTTAACCTCTCTTTCAGCCGGTTTAGTGTTTCTGTTTTAATCTTTAGATCTTTAATTCATTTCGATTTTAGTTTAGTGCACAGTGAGAGAAAAAAAAACTTCACACAAGTTATGGCAGAAAACTTCCCAAGCAGGGGAAAAGAACTTGACATAGATAAGTGAGGCACATAGGACTCCAAATAGCTGTGATCAAAAAAAAATGTACACATAGGCATATAATTGTTAAGATTCCAGAAACCGAACAGAAGAACAAAGTTCTATAAGCAGTGAGAGAAAAGAAAGAAATCACATACAAAGGAAAGCCCATCAGAATCACGGCAGACTTTTCAACACAAACAGTTTCTTAAACAGATCTGTTTTTCCGGCCAAGGGACATTTGGCTATCTCTGGAAACATTTCTGGTTGTCATTGCTGGGGGAGGCCACCCTTGGTCTCCAGTGGACAGAGGGCAGGGGACGCGGCTAGACTCCCTACCCACCCTGGCACAGGCCCCACCCTGAAGAGCTGTCTGCTCCAAGGTGTCTAATGCTGAAGGCGGAAAAACTCATTCTTAATAAATAAGAAGGACTTACGTTCACTGTAGCTATCAGATTCAGTGTCTGCGCTGCCCGAAATTGTAAGAAGAGCTTGAGATCCAATACTATTCAAGTCAACTTTTTCAATATCAGAAACCATAGAATTCACAACATGTTGATCAAAGAGAGCTGGTCTGGCAATCTGCACAGAGAAAGTAAAAATGATGCTTCCCTGTATCATTTATAGTGTGTCTATCTCGAGGAAAGTTTTTGCTTCAAGAAAATTAGCTCCTTGAGGAAAAAGAATCATAAATGACTTTTCTTATTTTAAAATTAAAAAGCAATAGCTAAGATTCATGATCATCACTGTTACAGTCCAAAAGTTCATTTTGGGATTTAGAAAATGAAAATTAATCCATTTAACTTACGGTGACAAAATAAAGATCAACATGTTATGCGTCTTGTTTAGAACTATTCCTAGCTAGTCTTTTAGAATTTGGCACTGACCACTGTTATAAAGCAAGCATTTGGAGCAGTGGAAACGTGTTTAGCAACACATGGTATTCCTCATTTAAGCATTGTGTTTGTCCCTCCCCCATCAGAAAGCCGTAATTAACAGCTGTTTTAAGCATGTCAGCCTTGCAGTCTTTACAACATCAAATACCACATGTGCTCATCCCTCACAGTCTTGATTTACACCAAAAGTTCCATTCATGTGGAAAATAAGTGTTTTACATTTTTATAGAACTACAATTTTTTTTAGCTTTTATTTTGAAATAATTTTAAATAAGAGAAGTGTTGAAAACATAGTGCAGAGAATTTCCACATACCCACCACCTGGCTTCTGATCAGCGTACGTGAGCACCGTATGTTACAGGTCAGGAAGCTAACACAGGTACCATCGTATTAGCCCCAGGTGCAACTGCAGTTGTGCCAGCTTTCCCCAGAAGGTCCTTCTTCAGCTCTGGTATTCGCTCTAGAGCACTGTACCGTTTCCTGACCAATTTCCTCCCATCTGTGAGAGCCCCGCGCTCGATCTGAACGGCAGAGTTTTGATGTGGCACTGACACCCGCACTTCACCCGCGTACCTGAGCGAGATGTAAGAATGATGTCTGTCGCTTCAGGGAGGACACAAATCTCCGCACAATGGGTATTTTCTTGTCAGTTAGGGCTTCCGGCAAGTTTGCCAAGGATGAAACAACCCACTGTTCCCAATTTTTAGCGAAATTTCTTATGTCTGCTAACAGGCTGCAAAGAAAACTACATGTTAACTCTTAGGTTGTTCAAAAGTACATTGAGTAGGGCCAGGGATTTAACTCGGTGGTTCTGCCACCTGCCTTGCAAACACAAGGACCCGAGTTCGTTCTCCGGTACCAAAAAAAAGTACATTGAGTAAGTGCATCCTACACAGATACACTGCTGCTCTGTGCCTCCCAAAGCACAGATGTGAAGTGAGAGATATCAGCCCAGGTCTCACCACATATCCTCTGCATCAAAATATTCAATTCCCTCAGCTCTACTCTGCTCGTCTTTTAAGTGGGCACAGGATTGCTGCGAGGAGTTTGGGAAGTAATTCCTGGAAAATGTCCCAGTAAAAGCTTAACACGCAGGGAGGACCTGGTAAATGATACTTCATTACTAATATTAACTCAGGATGTAACTGTTTTCTATAAAATATATTTCTGGGAAGATGTGAATGTACTCTTTGATGATGCGTCGATGGGAGACATCACATCAGGGTAACAACATTTCTTGTACTTAATATTGGTTTTAGTGACACGTTCTCACAATCCAAATATAATTTTGTGAATTACCAAAAGCACACACTAAATAGACCCAACTTAGAAAGTCAATCTAAAATCTTCATGTCTTATCCCATCAAGACAAACCTAAACGTATTTGGGTGCTGCCTATGCTGGGGAGCAGCGACAGAGCAGGAGGAGAGTCACAGAGCTGCACTCAGCTCCAGCTCTACTTCCTGCCCAAGAGCTGCCTCTTGGGCACTGACTGGAAGGTGAGTTAGCGCTTTCTGTTTCCAGGTTAGCTCAATATTGAGGATTTAGACTCATGATAGCTACTTTAGGATATGATGACAGGCTATGTTTTTCTAAATCCAATTATTCAATAAAAAAGAATTGGTTAAGGGTACTGTTCTCTAGATGCTGGAAATTGATGCTAGCACTTAAAAAGATAATGATCTATATTTATCGATCTATATTTATTGACATGGAAATGCTCTTACAATATAGAGTCACAGCTTGTATACTACAGCTCCACTTAAAAACGTGTATATTTGCAGATATTCCTAGAAAAAACTCTGATGCTATAATCCAAGACACTAAGTGTGCTGAGATTGAGGGCCTTTTTCAATGTACTTACATAATTTCTTTATTCTCCAGAAAGAATAAATGTTAGGCTTTTCACAGGAATCAATCTGTGTGAAAACTATAAGCCTATGTTGTGTTCAGTACACATCAGCTATTCAAACTGTTTTAAACAGTCATGTGCCACCAGTGAGTCAGTACCAACATTTTTCTGTGACACAGATGTACTGACTGAGAGTATGGATTACATGCTGATCATTAAAAGAAATACTGCAAGGCACAGTGCACCTGCCTATAATGCCGGCACTCTGGGAGGCTGAGACTAGAGGATGACAACCGCAAGTCCAGCCTGTGCAACTTAAAACTCAGCATGACCCTGTCTCCGAATCAAAGTGGGACAACTGGGGACGTAGCTCAGTGCTAAGGCCCTGAGTTCAATTCCCAGCACCACAAAAAAAGACAGTATTGACCAGACCATTCCCAACTGATATGTACATAAATTTAAAAATCTAGAGGAAAAGATAAATCAAAAGTAAAATGTTTTATTAGTCAACATTATTTTTTGAGCACCAGCCACATCCTGTATGAATTTGTTTGCCTCTCATACTAAAATAATTTTCATTATTTCATGAGACTTCACTTTCAAGGGAAAAATCTGACTTTTTTTTTCAAATTTCTGCTGTTCTTACACTGGCAAGGGCTTTGTGAAAAATCTTCAGGTATTTTATTTTTGGGGGGTACTGGAGATCGAACTCAGGACCTTCAGTTTGCAAGGCAGGCAGCGGAACCACTGAGCTAAATCCCCAGGCGTTTAGGTATTTCAATAAACTCTTTGAAATTGATTTCTTTGTTAAAAGAAGGCAATAATTTCATCACTTCACTTCCAGATTTTACAATTAAGATTAAAGTTAATAGCAAAAATACAATAAGTTTCCTTATATCTTTAATTAATCACTGTGGTATTTTCCATGAATTATCTTCCTCCAGCTTGCTCTCCTTGAAAAACATTTTCAGTACCTTGAAGGTCAATAAATACTGATTTTTAACTTAATCAACTATTAAATTTAAAGGGATTTCCAAGGTTCCAAGTTCAAATCCTAGTATCAAAAAATTTTAAAGGGATTTCAGGTTTTTTAACCCACTTGTTTTGTTTAACAAGGTTCGATGCAAGAATTAGGGCACATTTCCAGCTGTTGAGAGGTAGAGAAATATTCTTGATACGCGAATGGTGAATTACTGCCTAACGCATTCCTTGAATGTAATACATAAGGTGAAACCCTACACTATGCGATTATCATCTAATTAACTGAACATACCTTTCAGGCATTTCTTGCATTGTTGCAGGGATGAGTACATCTGTAAGAACCTTAATCACAGCAAAAGAGAGTTAACATAAATCTTTGCCAAGTATCTCAAAGAATGACACATTATTTGCTCATTACTTTTTCTTCTTGGCTTCCTGGAGAACAAGATGTTATCTCCTTCGGGAGAATTATAATTTAATCTCTAAATGTGTGTATGTGTGAGCAGTGTGTGACCTGTGTGCCAGCTGTTGGCTCCCACTGGGTTGGCGTGGTGCTGCCCTGCATCTCACAGACCCACAGCCAGCCACTCTGCGAGTGGGGAAGGTCTTGCCGCCCAGTGTGCAGGGTTCTATCAAAAGTGCTCTCTGTGCTTCCTTGGGCATACCGTGAGGAACAGAAACTCAGTCCACTTAAAGATGCATAAACTCATAAGCCAGGCGTGGTGGCACCTGCCTGGAATCCCAGCACTCAGGAGGCTGAGGCAGGAGGATTGCTGTGAGTTCCAGGCCAGCCTGCACTACACAGAGAAGCCTTGACTCAAAGAAGCAAAACAAACAAGCAGAAAAGCCTCGATACTTAAACTCAAGATTTTGTGTTGGACTAAAATACAAAATTCAGCTCTTCTGGGTTTCCAAGGTATTTCCTAGAAGAGTAAAGACACAGCCCAGACAGCTCTGTGGTCCTGCTGGCAGGCATGTGGGTGTGAGCCCAGGCCTTTTCTTGTTTTAATTTTTATTCTTTATTAGTACATATTTGCAGCACATAATGACTAGGTTCATCGGAGAGTCGGTCCATGCACATAACACGTCTTAATCCTTTGTTTGTGCCTTTCTCCAGGCCTCCCCTGTCTTTTGGTCTCCTTCCCTTTTACAAAGACCTGACTCTCTGTTCCCTATTGTCTATATTTTGCTCTTTAATTTACTTATACTTTGGGATTCTCTCATAAGAGAAACCATACGATGTTCAAGCTTGTGTGTCTGATTTATTTCACTTAACATCATGGTCTCAAGGTGCATCCATTTTCCTACAAATGCCTCAAGTTTATTCTTTTATGGCGTAGTAGTGCTCCACTCTGTAAACACACTTTCTTTATCCGCTCATCTGCTGATGGGCATATGTACGGGCTGCTTCCAAGGTCCAGTTATTACGAGTTGTGTTGCTATCAACGTGGCTACCTGTGCATCGCTGTAGTGTGATGTCTCAGGAGCCAGCTCTGTGCCTCTAACTGCAGTTGCTTTCTCAAGCATTAAGCAATCAGTTAGGGCAAACAACATTTTCTAACTAATGACATACACATTCACTCCAGAAAAACAAGACTATCCCTGCTCTCCTTTGTTCTTTTCCAACTTGAGCTACAGGCAGCAAATATCCCATACTTACTCCTTCATTCTCTTGCCTGTGACAAGGGAACTGAAGAGAGCAGATAGGAGCCCCTCGGGTGGCTCAGGCCAGTACGTCAGCTGTGGATCTGCAAAGCCATCTCAGACAGAGTCTACCAGAAAGTGGAACAGTCTACTCTTCTGCAAAGCTGAGAATCTGACAGGAACTTGCTTAACAGGCTCGGGTTTTCCTTGAAAACTCAGATTATTCCTTAAAAGGAATGCTTTTATTTCACTTATGACAATGTGGTAGGTAGGAAAACTTTCTGTCGGGGGAGGGCTACAGGGAATGGAACCAAGGGATGCTCTACCACTGAGCTGCATCCCAAACCTTTTCAAAACTTTTGTTTGTTTGTTTTTTATTTGGTACCGGGGATCGAACTCGGGTCCTTGTGCTTGCGCAGCAGGCGGCAAAACCACTGAGCTAAATCCCTGGCCCCAAAAACTTATTTTTTATTTTGTGACAAGTTTCACTAACTTAACCAAGGTGGTCTTAAACTTGCAATCTCCCTGCCTGAGCCTCCTGAGTAGCTGTGATCAAAGGCTAAACTCACTTTAAAATGCCCAGATTGCAATATAATTTTGTTCTTCCAATTGGACCTCGTTGCTGTTCAGCCAGGGGCAAGATTCTGTCCCTTGCCAATGAACATTCGGTAGAAAGCCAACCACCTCATCTCTACTCAGGATGTGTTCATGACCTTCATGAACACATCTGAGAACTCTCATTTGATTTAAGAACAAAACTGGACACTAATGTAGTAAAACTAGCGATTTTCAAGTTATTAATCCTATGACAGTGTATAATTTCTGCTTTTCCTTAAAATGCACATACTGTGAAACAGCCATTCTGCCATTTAATCTGAAAAGAGTGAGTTAATAAAATTAACTGAGTTTTCATACATTATCAATCACGTCACCTTTCAGATCACTTTTAGCTGAAAATAAAAGTTGAGTTCTACTTGATGAGTATTTCTATTAAAATACATACATTCTTAAACTTGCACTAAGTTGTTTTGTCATCCTAAAAAAAATAGTGCATCTCCAGCCAGAAATAACAAATTTATTATAGATACATTTCAGGAATTTAAGTAGAATGCTATTTAAAGAAACAGGTGACTCATAGTGAAGACTCCCAGAGAGCTTACCTTATAAAGGATGGAGTCACAGACACAGAAAATGTCAACAATCACAGGATTTTCAAGCAGGGGAAGGAGATGGTCAGGCATTCCTTGCCAAAAGTGTAGTAAGAAATGCTGGATCTGGATGCAGGGCAGAGAGTACACACATAAAATTCTGCTTGGTATGAGCTCCTTAGTCCCGGACAGGACAGCATGAGCAGTGAGGTCAGGAACCTGCCCTTCATCACCCTTACCTCTTCAAAGTTCCCATTGATCGCGTTGTCCAGAATACACTGGCAGTGAGTCTTGTACATCATTATGAGGGTGTCAACCTAGTTCAAGGAAGAAAAAGCTTAACCAGATGATCCTTTTACATTGGTTCATTTGTACAACACAAGGTGTAAACTCCTGTTGGGTCCCAGGCATTATGTCCAGTGCTGAGGATCAAAGAGCCAAAGCCCTATTTTTAAGGAGCTGACTGATTTGTGAATTGAGAAAGTGGCGTAAACTGAGGATTACATGATCTCTAAGAACAACGGGAAAGGCAGTTGCAGGAGCAGTGGCACAGTAGGATCCTAATTTTCTACCTAACAAGAAACTTGGAGGTGGTATCGCCACCCACAGGGCTTCAAGTGGGCTTGCGGCAGTGTTGCTTAGTGGTCTCAGGGTTTGAAGTCAGCACACCCCGAGTGCTGGCTTCACTGCACCCTGGCCAGATGAGCCCTGAACATTTCATCTTTGAGCAGTAACAGCACATTGCTCATATAAGGTTAAGAAAATCAAATAACAATGTAATGCATTTATAATCGTGACTGCACACAGTGGGGACTTACTAAATATTATCTAGACATAGCTATAGTATCAAATGATGTATTTATAGAAGTTTCAATCATTAAGTGGTTACTATCGACAGTCTCTATTTCCAGGTTGCCATAGCTATTTGGATGGCATCATTTAGAGAATTTTGAACAGCTGGGGATATAGCTCAGTGGTATAGCACTTGCCTAGCAAGCATGAGGTCCTGGGTTTGATGCCCAGTACTGCAAAAAAGAAAAAAAAAATTGTTTTTAAAACTTTTTGGACATATTCTAAAATTTGCAATGAATTAGAACCAGATAATATGCTAGCAACTTAATAATATCAAACTAAAATTTTTATTTTATATGCTGGAAATGTCTCTACTTCTTACTGGCTGTGTGATCTATATGGAGAGAGCCTGGTCCAGATGTTACCCCTGAGATTGCCTTTAAGATTCTTAGATTTGAATCCTAGTACTAACGTACTGTTTACTAGCTATGTGGTAGTGGGCAAGCTACCTAACGTTTATAAAATGTTTTAATTTTCTTATCTGTGAAATTGATGTGTCAGTAACACACAATGAGTCTGAAATGCATGAACACTTATAAAGTTGTTGGAATAAGCCACAGTATGCACAAGAACCTGATGGATGTTAGCTGTGTGACGCTAACAGCATCGGGATAGTGGGGGATGGGCTGTCCTAGCCCAGCATTGTGCTCAGCCCCTTATTCCTGCAGCCCTGGGACAGCGCACACTTCTGTGGTCTCCTCACAGCCGAGTAGTGATGACTTGCAAACTACCAATCCACTTCCAGTGAGGTGTGCTACACTCAAGACACCTCTAGCAGGTATACTCCAATCCATGAAAATAAGACTTGGTCTGCGTTTTGGGCAATACTACAATATTTTTACATGGATCGCAAAGACATACTTCTTAAATAAGACTAAGGACAACATGAAAGATGCAAGGGAGTCATACCATTGCCAAGCATCAACCCTAAGACTAAGCCCTAAAGCCTCCTGACGTGAAAGCAAGCTCTTATCTGCACGGGCTTTCCTGCGTGTCACAATGGACCGCCTTACACGCAAATCACAAAACTTCCTCTTCTTTACCACTTCACATGCCTAAGAGTTTCCTAGTCTTAGACCAATGAATTTCAATTGTAGTGTGCTTAGGGTTCTTTCAACGTGATTCACCCAGGTGTCTGAGAGCCGAGCTCACTGCTGGAGGCTGGTGCAGGGGTCAGGCTCAGCTGCTCGGAAGCTGTCAGCCCTGGCGGGGCGACAGCTGCCTCAAGGGACGTTGTGGAGTCAGGAAGCCTGTGCGGCCCGGCGTCACGAGCAGTGCTGTCTCTGCCTAAGGGTACAGGCGCCTCAGGTCCTTGGCTTCAGCCTCACGCTCTTTCTAGAAACTGACCAGTTTCCGGGGACCCTGGCTACAGGCTAGGAGGGCAGAGGGCTCAGCAGTCTTCAAGGGACAAGTGCAGTGCCACGCCTGGTGTTCGCTGGTAATTTCCCTGGTAATGAGCTCAGGAGGCAGGCTCCCAGGAGAACCTTGGTCCCTGAGTGAGAAAGGATCTGCCAGTCCTTCAAGTCAACGGCTGAGGAATTCCTTGAAGACCAGCAGAGAACATTAAACTATCAGAGCCTGTTCTCCATCTCTGTCTCTCTGTTCCTGTCTCTATCCCTGTCTGTCTGTCTGTCTCTGTCTCTCTCTCTCCTCCCTTTCTCTCTCCCCCACCCCCAGCTCCACTCACAGTAAACATCTCTGTGATGTGTTTCATGTAACAATCCTCTCCACACCAAAAAATACCCTCCCTCTAAGAACTGGGGGCCCACAAGCTGCCCTGCTAGCATTTACTTGCGAGTTTTAACATGAAGTCCTCCTGTCACACACTACATCCGTAAGGTAAAGAAAATAGGATGACCTTGATGTGGCAGGGAGGGAATGGAAGGAAGCAGATATCCTTCGGGGACGCTCTCAGATTCAGCATCTGGTGTCTGTCGTCAGGGCTTTGCTACTCCAAGTTGGCAGTGTCTGCCATCGAAGGAACCGTGTGAGTTACTCCAGGTCTCTACTTATTTATCAATGGCTATGAAAAAGATCAATGTGCTCTTTTATTTCTTACAAAAAGCCTATTGCTAAAATAACACAGCTGGCTATTAATCATATTCCTTTATGTTTACACCTCAAAAATATGAATTGACTCAATATACTATGAAAGGTGTTTTCCTGAAATAATTAGTATTTTTATTTAAAAATGATCTTTAGTTGAAAGACATAAGTGGACATCTGATGCTCTGATTTAATAATGGTTCCTGATAGTAAACGGCCAAAAGGCACCCAACAGATGACTCTAGAAGTACAGAAATAAAACAGGGGTAAGACACAGACTTTACTGCTAAGCACTAAACAGTCATACTGAAGATTATTTATAAACTGAATCAAATGAAAATATTACTTCCTTAGGTTTTAAAAGAATTACAAACATAAGAGAGCACAGAATTTTAGAATTTACAGGCTTTGTGTCAGCTGTGTACCTGCATTCTCTAGGAATCTCCTACTCAGTGCTAGGGGTAAATGCTGTCCTAAGGAAATGCTTGATGACACTGCACTAAAGAAAACTGGCGCTCATGGAAAGCATGAGGCCTACAATTGAGAAACCTGCATGCAGTGCATACACTATAGTACTTTCTTCCCAACAGAGTTTTAAATAAAAAATTCTTTATCTTGTGTGGTTTATTTCACCACCTTCTGATTACATACTATCATGAGATGGTAAATAATTAATTAGAAAGTATTAATCAGTCTTAGTAAGCATTTATCTCTCCCATAAATCAGTCAATTCTATTTGATTATGTAAATTTCTGACTGCTTCCTGCAAATACCATGAGATTCCCACAAGTTGAGATATGGAACCAACATATCAGAAAATCAATGCAGAAGTATCTTTAACTGGTACCTTGTCCTTAGAAACACATCCTTGGTATACAAGGTGTTGAGCGCTGGGAAATTCTGGAAGAAGTGTTCCTGTTTTTGAGCTAAGAGAATATTTACGAGTGAAACCACCCTATAATTCAGGAAAAAGAAAAAGAAATAAATCACTATCAGGCATATGTATCCAAAACATGACAATAGTAAGATAGAAACCCATTAAGATTCCATTCTTCATTACTTTGCAAACCATGAGGAATCAAGAGTTTTGGATAACCTGAGTAAGTAGTAGAGTAAGGTAGTAAGGTAGATGTTTCAGCCAAACTGTTTCTAAAACTTAAATAGTACCATATTCAGAATGTTTTTCCTATCACTAGGACTTTGGTTTTGAATATCTGTCAATTTTACAACTTTTAGAATTTAAGTTCACATTTTTAAATAGCATGAATTCCGGAAGATCTACCTTTGGAATTATTAAAATTATTTTAACTGCAGTACAAAAGGATCAAGAACTGCCAGATCCAATTATCTATCATATTTTGCTCTTTATTTATAGTTTGGGTTTCTCATACAAGAGAAACTATGTGATAAAGACAGATGACAGAAAAGAGAGAGACAAATTTCTTGCAAAAGGGAAAGGGACCAAGAAATGAAGGGATGGGGAAAGAGGAGATGGCAAGTGAAAAGCACATGAGATGTGTGCACACATGCATCGACACATGGGGAACGTAAACATTATGTACTGCAAACGTGGACTAATAAACAAAAAATGATACTATCAATAACACGGAAAAACAACATAGCAATCAAGAAATAATTTAACCCTAGAGAAAGAAGAAGGCACAGCCTGGGCTGGGGATCTCGCTCAGCGGCACTGCGCCTGTCTTGCAAACACAAGGTCCTGAGTTTGATACCTGGTACCAAAAAAAAAAAAAGAAAGAAAAGAAAGAAAAGAAAAGAAAAAGTCATAGCCAAATATAAAATTAACGTTTGATAAATAAGCATAATAAAAATGTACCTAAATTATAACTTTAGAAAAGTTTACAATTTTTCTTGTACATTTTTTCTTGGATGAAAAGTCATGTTTTCATCTCAAGATGTAACTGGTAAGACAAGAAGAGAAAAACAGAACATTTAAAAAACTGAAAAAGACAATATGTAGCATTATGTTAAAATTAAGTTAGGAATAAGAGAATAATCTCATTTCCATTGAAGAAATAATTAGCAATCAAAAGTCTTTCCACAAAGAAAAAAAGAGCCCTAAAACATTTAACAGGTGGTAATAAACATTCAAGAAACAGGTAATTTCAAGGGGCCGGGGATTTAGCTCAGTAGTTCTGCCACTTGTCTCGCAAGCTCAAGGTCCCGAGTTCGATCCTGGGTACCAAAAAAAAAAAAAGAAACAGGTAATTTCAAACTACAAGAATCTATTTAGATAATAGGAAAAAAGGGATCACTTCCCACCTCATCTGAAAATACAAAAGCTAAAACTAGATAAGGATTTTTTAAAAAGAAGAAAATACTACAGATCAATGTCATTCATCACCATGCTTGCAACAGTATCAAATAAAATATCAGCAATCAAAAAAGCAGTATATAAGAGTGATCATAGTCATGTTAGGTTTAACTCATCACACTGACAGAGAAAGGAGGATACTGTACTGTATTTTATATAATAATCTCACTTGACACAGGAAAGCGTTTGTTGGGAATTAGATGGCAGTGGGTGATAAAATGCTAAAAGAACTAAACGGTCAACCAAGAATTTTTTATCCAGCAAAACTGCCAGTTAGTATTGAAGGAGAACATCCTCCTTCTTAAAGACTGAGTAGTATTCTACACACAGACACAGACGCATACACACACACACACACACACACACACACACACACGATTTCTTTATCCACTCACTCATTAAGGGCACCTGGGCTGTCTTGATTATTCCAAGCAGTTCCTCATTGAGTATGAGAGTACAGATACTGTTATGCAATGGTAATTCTGCCATTTCCATAACACAGATGAAACTGGAAGACTATACTACATGCAATACGCTAGACACAGAAATAAAACTACATGAGTTCACTCATACGTGGAATCTATTTTTTTAAAAAAGACGAGATAAACTAATGCAGTGAATTCCAGAGATTAGGAGAGGGAAATGGGAAGCTTTGAGTCAAAGGCTATAAAATGAAAAATGCAGGATGAACAAGTCAAAAGGTCTCACTGACAGCATGATGACTGGAGAAGTATTTAGAATCTTGGCTCAATAAGTAGACAATAGCTGCTCTCACCAGGTGACCCCGTGCAGTGACGGGCATATTCATTTGCTCCAGTAGAGGAGCCATTTTACTATGTAGTAGGTGCGTCTCACAGCATCATGCTGTATACCGTAAATGTATACAATCAGATGAATTTTGAAAAGATGAGAGAACAATAAAAATGTTGTCAGATAACAGAAGTGTTTAGTCGCTACTGAAATTACCCTGCAAGAAATGTTAAAGGGAGTCCTGCAGGTTGAAATGAAAGGACAATCTTCCATACCTCAGAGTCACATGGAGGGATAAAGAGGCAGATGCTGGACAGGAAAGCTAGTGTGCTGAACAAGAGCTAGAACTCTGCTTCCTTTTTTCTATGTGATTTAAAAGACTAGTACAATAAGAGAAAAACAACGATTAGTATAAAGTTAGTGTTGTTTTAACTTTGATTTGTAATTTTACATTTTGTTTTCTATAATTTAAAAGACTGATCCATTTAAAATCTACTCGAGTATGTTTTAGGATGTGCAATATATAAAGGTGTAATTAAGTGACAAAAATGATATGAATGAAGACAAAGGTGAAGAGTGGCAATGCTATTCGTATGCTATTGAAGTTCAGCAGGTATAAATTCAAATCAGAGCATTGTAACTTTACAATGTTAAATGTAATACCCATGGTAACCACAAAAAATATACTTATGGAATATGTTCAAAAGGGATTAAGAAAGAAATTAAAATATTTCATCACAAAACATCAAGCAAACACAAAAGAAAGTAAAAGGTAGTAAATGAGGGACAAACAGCTTTTAAAATTAAGCATATAGAAATCCAATAAAAATAATGCAAGAAGTCGCTCCTTATCAGGGACTTATTAATTACATTTAATTAGCTTAAATGTAAATAGATTAAATTTTCCAACCAAAAAATAAGAAATTGGCAGAATGGATTTAAAAATATAATCAAACTCTATACTATTAAAGGCTTACTTTAGGAATTCCATACAAAAAGTAACCAAAAGAAAGCAAGGGTGGCTATCCTAATATCAGACAAAATAAACTTTAAATCAAAAAAGGTGATAAGAGGCAAAGGACAATATATAGTAATAAAAGCTCAATACAGTAAAAAACTATAAACATTTATGTAGCTAATAACAGATTTCCAAAGTATATAAAGTAAATATTGACAGAATCAAAGATTAGAAGTTCTTAATAATAGTCACATAAACCAAACAGCACCCAACAATGGAATATAGTCTTCTCAATGTTTGTCAAACATTCCCCAAGATCTGTAATGTGCTGCCCACAGATTGAGGCTTCCTGAATTTTAAAAGATAAATATCATGCAAAATATCCTCTGTAACCACCAGAGGATGAAGTTAAAAATCAGTAACAAAGGGAAAACTGAAGATTCACAAATTTGTGCAAGGTAAAGAGTACAACTTCTAATGATTAATTTATTAAGGAAGAAATAAGAAAAGTTACAAAATTCTTAGAAACAAATGAGAATAAAAATACAATATTGCAAAGATTAAATTAAAAATGCTAAAATCAGAAATCAAAATGAGTATTGCTTCTATAGAAATAAAAAGAATAATAAGGGAATAGTATGGACAATTACATGCCCAAACAATGTACAATCTATATGAATGGACAAATATCTAGAAGCACAAAACCTACCAAGACTAAATAATGAAGAAATAGAGAATCTGAATAGATATATAGACTTAGTAATCAAAAATTTTAAAAATACATTGTTCAAAAAAATAGTTACCTGATTTCCCCTTGTGGCAAGACCTGGACTTGCTAGTTTCTTTCTTTTTGAAATTAGTACATGTTTGTCACAAGTAATGATCACATTCACCATGGGAATTTGTACCTGTACATAATATACTTTAATTCTTTTTTCCCATTCCCCTCCCCTCCCTTCAAAACTTTCCTCCCCATTTTTTCTGTTTCCATTTTTTCCTTCCATTCTCTCTTTTTTAAAATCCCTTTTCCCTCTCTTTCCTACCCCTTCCCTCCTTCCTTGTTCTCCTTCCCATTTGAACAAGTTCTTCCCACTTCCCAATATCTATCCTCCATTTTGCTCCTTATTTACCCTTTGGGTTTCTCACACAAGGGAAACAACGAGATATTTGGACCTGTGTGTCCAATTTATTTCACTTAAGATGCTCTTGAGAGGCATCCATTTAACTAAAACTGTCTCAAGTTTATCCTTATCTGTGGCAGAGTAGTAGTCCACTGTATATAAATACCACATTTTCTTTATCTATTCATTTATTGATGGGGATATGGGCTGTTTCCAAGATTTAGCTATTATAAACTGTGCCACTATAAATATGGGTGTGCATATACCACTGTGGTATGATGCTTTTAACTCTTTCAGGAAGATACCTAGAAGAGGAATAGCTAGTCAAATGGAACTTCCAGTTTTAGCTTTTTGAGGAATCTTCATACAACCACAGTGGTTGTACCAATTCACACTTGAACTAACAGTGGAGAAGGATTTCTTTTTCCCCACAACCCTGTCAGCATTTGTTATTGGCTGATTTCTTAATGATAGCCATTCTTTCTGGAGTGAAATGGAATCTCAGCATTGTTTTAATTTGCATTTTTCAAATGACCAGTGATGTTGAACATTTTCTCATATACTTATTTTCTAGTTTCACTGGTAAATTCTACCAAACACTTAAAGAAGAACTACCAATATTTCTCAAACTTTTCCAAAAAATTGAAGGAGTATTTTGTAATTCGTTCTCTGAAACCAGCAATGCACTGATACCAAAGGCAAAGACACTACCAGAAAACTATAGACCAATATCTTTTATAAACTTTCAAATAATCAGCAGAGTACTATTGAACCAAACTCACTGACATATT